ATACATTCGTTAGTTTCTTTTGAGCATTACATAAACAAAGTTTGGATCATAGTCTATGAGGCAACTGACCTGTAATCATTTGCATTTCAACACATGTGGCTTGAAAAACAGAGCAGTAAGTTACCCTACATGCTCTTTTATTTGAATTCCGCAGGAGGTCACTCACTGTATCATTTTTTGTGATCCAAGAGTCCACTAACGAAATAGATTATACCATAATAAAATGCTCACACAACAATAACTTTTGAGTGAAGTATTTGAATTACATTATGTATGCAGGAATACTCCCTTTCTGAAGCTGATAACAATACCTCCATTTATTGAGTGGTTCCCTATGTGGCAGGCTGTGTGCTCAATTCATGACAGACATTGTTTCCACTCAATCTTCCCATCAATCCTACCAGGTATGCATTATTATCCTTATTTTCAAATGAGGAAAACAAAGGTTAGGCCACAAATGTTTATTGAGCAACTACTATGTGCCAGACCCTATTCTAGGCCATCAAAGTTGAAGCTTAGAGACATAAAGCAACCTTCAGTTTGGGCACAGGCCTGTCTCAGCTCTTATCATGATCCCATGTCGCCTTACTGGGAAGAATATTCAAGAAATATTTCAAGTATTTGTATCACAGAATGTCTTCCTCTTAGTTCTTTATAGATTTTATTACCATCTTTCATCATAGGAAACTCTCAAATCGTTGAAGTTTATATCTGGAGGGGAACCTAGAGACGATCCTTACATTTTCCAAAATTTGAATTCTCTCAACTAAAATGTTCAAATAGATGTAGAAATTCCTGTTGTCTCTTAAGATGTGTGTCAATCAGGGGCGTCTGGGTGGCTCAGTGGGTTAAGCCTCTGCCTTTGCCTCAGGTCGTGGTATTGGGGTCCTGGGATCAAGCCGGCATCGAGCTTGCATCGAGCCCTGCATCGGGCTCTCGGGGAGCCTGCTTCTCCCTCTCTCTCTGCCTGCTTCTCTACTTATGATCTCTCTCTCTGTGTCAAATAAATAAATAAAATCTTTTAAAAAAATGTGTGTCAATCAAGAAAATATTGTTAATTTTTATTTAGGAACTTCAAAAATCATGGAAGATATGTCACCCTGCATTTTGTTTGATTATTATCTTATGTGAGATAAGATTTGAGCCTAAGTCTTATCTTTCTTTCTCTCTATAAAGAAGTAGTGTCTAGCAATTATTTTTTCTTTTTTGTGAAAAATTTACTTCAGATAATGTAAAGGGAGGAGACTTTTCAGAAAGGTGATGATGATTACACTCCAAGAGCTTTCTTTTTCTTTTTTTTTTTTTAAGACTTTATTTATTTATTTGAGAGAGACAGCGGGAAAAAGATTGAGAGAACGAGTAGGGGAGAAGCAGACTCCCTGCAGAGCAGGGAGCCCGACATGGGACTGGATCCCACAACCTGGGATCATGACCTAAGCTTAAGGCAGACGCTCTGACTGAGCCACCCAGGCACCCTAAGAGCTTTCTATATCAATAGCAAAGCTATATGTAATAGAGCTGTGAATTTGGGATGTGTGTAAGGTAGAGATTGTGCCATGTGGGATGTGTGTAAGGTAGAGATTGTGCCATGAGCTGTCCTTAGTCATCTTTCCAGACTGATGGAACTCCATTTTTGAGCAAATGTTATTTTGTTAAGTAAAATGCCCATTTAAACTCCTATACAAAGGTTATAATTATAGCAGGAAATTGTTGGGGATAGAGGAAGTTAAATTTGGTTGTCTTGTCATACATCAGGAATGATTTCTTGGAAATCTAGTCCAGATTTTTGACTGAGGTTTGCTGTTTCCCTTTGCTGTAGTTTCAAGTAATAACTTTCCAATATTTTGGTTCTGACTGGGAGATTTATGCAGGAGGTGGGGCATAGAATCAGCCCTTTGTGCTGGTTTTGCACCAAGGAACCCAAAACAACAGTAGAATGTGAGGCTATCACTTAACATTATATTAGGACATGAAAGGCTCAATGTGAACATTCTAAAGCAGTGCTGTCCTCTAGAACTATAATGCTAATCTTGACAAGTAAGCCCTGTATATAAGTCTACATTTTATAGTAGTCATATGAAGATGTAAAAAGAAACAGGTAAATTAATTTTAATGAAATATTTTATTTAACTCGACATATTCAAAATATTATTTCAACATGTAGTCAATATAAAAATTATTAGAGCTACTTTACATTCTTTTTTTGTACTAAGTCTTTGAAATCTGGTGTGAACTTTACACTTACAGCCCATCTCATTTGCGATCAGCCAATCTTATTTTAAGTATTTCAAGAGCCATATGTGGCTAGTAGCTACTATATTAGCCTGTGCAGGGTGATCTCTAGAGGCAGCTGTTCTCTGAATAACTACACTTAGAGTTTTCCTTTCTTAAGCAGGAAAGAAAAAAGTAATCCTGCTCAGGGTAATATCAGCTTCTATGTTCAAATAACTCTTTTTTGCAGCCACCTACAAGAAACATCCCCCAGCCTCATTTGATTTTTTTTCAAATTCTCCCACCCAAAGAGAGTGGTTGCACCACTTTTGGAATTATAAAAGAAATAAATGAAAGAAGTTTGTTAACTAAAAGAATTCACTTTTCTCTTTGGAGAATAAGGAGAATGCTGTTTTTCTAAATCAGTTCACAAATACTTAATCAAGCGGATCCTATGTGGAAGACAGCTGTGCTAGTGGTACCTAGCGCATTATTAACAGTTCATTTCATTCCTAATTCCTGCAATGTGACCACTGTTCACAGTAACTTTGTTTTAGAAGTTATTCTTCTACTTCTTGAGGTAAAAAGAATAAAAGTTGATACTGAAATCAACTTTTCAGTATACAACTTGATTTATTACAGTGGAGTAATTCGCACGGGGCAGTGTTAGACACATAATAACTGTCTCCTTAAATATAAGGTATGTTTTTTCCTAAAGCAAGAATGTTAGTTGGAATAACTGATCACTGTTTGGTGGGCTAATTTACCTTAAACTAACCAAATTGACCAACTCCTTTTCGCTGCAAGGAATGGTAATGTGGCTTTGCAATGTAAATGAAAGATAAATTAGGTACTTTCTACATAAATGCAAAACAACGCACAACTCCTTATCCTCAAACTGGTTTTACCGTCAGGAATTACGGAGATGGTGCTGCCAAATTAGTTGAGGTTGGGTCCAGACTGGATTTGCAGCACTAGAGTCAAGCATGTAGGGGGAGGTGACAAAATCACGAACTAAGTCCTCCTCACCCCCCCACCGCACAGACCACGCTGAGCCTGCCCAGATGTTGCTCAACCCCGAGCTGTCCCCCTGAGTCCAAGGCTGTGAGAGAGGGCGCGCAGTGAGGACTTCCGGCCACCTCCTCGGGCTCCCTAAACAGATGGAGCCTCTTCTGGTGGCCACGAGGCTCCCGGGCCTCGAGCTTGTGCCAGAGAGCGCGCAGGCAAAGGCGGCGGAAAGATTTCAACACCTGCCTCTCTCGGGCCCAGCGAGAAACCTTGCACCGCCCGAGCAGACCTGGCTGGCCAGAACTGGGGCTCTAATCTCAACCTAACACCTGCGTTAGGGAGGAAGCCAAGGGCTCTCCAGGTGTCTGGGTCCCAGGATGATGAAAGCGAGCTGTTAAAAGGCGTGCACCGGAAACGCAGCGGGGGACGCGCTGTGGCCGCCGGGCGTGGGAGGACCGGGACGCCTTGGCCGAGGCCTGAAGGGATGAAGGCACTGGCTGTCCTGGAGATTTCCCTTTACTTTTTTCCCTTCTCCTTCTAGAGGGGGTTGGCCAGTGGCTGCAGTAGCTTTCCACTCAGCCCCGCGACCTTTACACAATTTTGCCCAGGCGCACTAAGCTCGCTAGGCACCTGGCGTTGGGAACACGAGGTAGAACCCACACCCCCACCCCCGGCGGGACTCAGTCCAGACGCCCAGGCCTCTCCCCACAAACTCTTCATCCTCTTGTCTTCCGTTGCCGTCTGGGAATTGGGTTTTCTTAACCCAGGGCTTCCCTGTCTTGGGCTGGAGGAGGAGTTAGAACCCCTCCCTCGCTTTCCCTCCTCCACCTTCGGCCAGCCTGATTTTTTAATCTAATCTTTTATTTAAAGTCAACAGAGAAGCAGGAACCCCAGGTTTCTGCCAACATGATATTTTAAAAGAATTCCCCAACTTCTGCTGAGAGGGGCAGCCTCAAGGAACCTCCTTGTTTCCTTCTTCGTGCAGGGAGTGGGGGACTTCGAGAGTCAAGACTGAAGCCTGAGGGCTCTCCAGACTTTGGGTGGGGGGCGACTCAAGCAGGACAAATGCAGTACAAATATTAAAAAGATGACACGAGAGCTTCGATTTGGAGAGCGTTGAATCATAACCGAGAGCCGAACCTCCAGGGGGCACCAGGGCACAAAGCCTTACGTGCCCCGTCGCGGGGGACTTTACGGAGTGGGGGGGAGGGCAGGTGAATGCCTACCGTGTGAGCCTGGATAGGGCAGGTTTTGGTCCATTAAAGGATATGCCCATAGACACGACGCGCCCACAAACACCCGCCGAGGAGTGAGACCGAAAAGACACCCCACGCCCACTCCCCAGGTCTTTGGCACTGGACTGTGCCCACTGCGCCTCGCCCATCTCCCTCCTCAGCTAAGCGGGGACCACTGTTCTCTATCCTTAAGTAGCCTCCGACCTGCTCAGACCCTTAGCAGTTCAAGGTTCCCAGCCTTTCGCTCCTCTTGCCCTTCCCTTCTTCTTTCCCCCGCCGCCCGCCGACGCCCCCAGATCTCTTGGGCTCGCCCTTCCTGAAAGTAGGCGAGGCCCAGAAGCAGAGGCTGGGGCGAGGAAGGAGGGAGGAGCGAAGCGCGGTGGCCGGGGGCGTGTCTTCACAAGCCCCGCCCCCGGGTGCGCGCGGCGGCGGCGGCGGCAGCCGAGCCTCGCTCTGAGAGACAGGTATCGCTTAGGCGCCATGTTGTGAGCGGAAGTCGGGGAGCGCGCGGCCGCCGCTGTTCTGCTGGGAGCGGGCGCGGGAACCGGCGGGGGGGGGGGGGGGCGGAGCTGTAGTCCCGGCGGCGGAAGGAGGAGAGGAAGAAAGGGGCGAGACCGGGTGCCGGGCAGCGGCGCGAGGCTCTCGCTCGGCGTGCGGACATCTCCAGCTAGGCGCGCGGCGTTCGAGGGTCGGTGTAGGCGCCGAGCCCTCTCCCGGGCAGCCGGCGCTGGTGCTGCTACTGCCGCCGCCGCCGCTGCTGCTGTCGTGGGGCTCGGGCGGCGACAGAGCGGGGCCGGCCGTGGGGCGGGCGGGGAGGGAGGAGGCGGTGAAGGCGGCGGGCCGGGGGGGAAGATGCCGCTGGCGCAGCTGGCGGACCCGTGGCAGAAGATGGCTGTGGAGAGCCCGTCCGACAGCGCTGAGGTGAGTGCAGCCGGGCGGCCGGGGGCCGGCGCGCCCCTCCCCTCGCCCCCGCCGGCCAGCTCCCCTCCCTGGAGCTGGCCACTTGGCCCCTTCTTCTGCTCGCGTTTCCCCTCTGTCTGGGATTCCGGTTTGGGTAGTTGGGGTTGGTCTGTTTGCTCTTCTGTTCCACCCGCACCCTCACCTCCCCTCCCTCGCTCGGGGGGCTGTGGTGTGGTGGCGCGTGGGGTTTGGAGTGGGCGCTGGGGCTTTGCAAGAAGCCGATTTTAATCAACTTTGCGTGGGGGGGGAGCGGGAAGTGGAGCGGGGGCCGGAGAGGAGTTGAGAAGTTTGGCCCTGCCTGGTTGGGGGCTTCCCTGGACCCTGGCGACTTTGGGGTGTAAGAGAGGGATATGGATTGGGTTCAGTGGGGAGTAGGGACTCTCGAGTCCGGCCAGGGGCGGGAGTTGGTGCTGTGAGTCGGGTGCGTGGGGGCTGGAACGGCCCAAGGCAGGACTGGCGACCTGCAGGGGTTTCGGGAAGGGGTGCAGGACAGCCAGTGGTTTTTGCCAACCCCCAGTTTGTCTGCCGCAGCGGTTTCTGGTGGTGCAAAGGAGAAAGTGGAGGCTTGAGGTCCTCCCCCTCCCCCATTTCTTAGGTCGCTGAGCTCGAGGACCCGGTCCGTAGGAGCTTTAACTTGAGTTTCCTGTCCTTGGAGGTGAGAGGGTGATTTTCAAGGCCATCAGTAGCTGCCCTGAAAGGCTTTCAGGTTTTATTCCCCCAGGATCTATTAGGTGACCATCCCTGAGACACCTAATCAAGTGCCAAAAACCCAAACAGTATACCCAAAGACGGCAAAACAATTTCCCCGGGCACGGCACAGCATCGAGCTTTCGCAGCCGCCCCTGTCCCAGCACCAACTCGGGGTCTGCGAAAATAATCCAGGCAAGACCCATGCTAGGGCATCAGCGCTCCTCTCCGGAGTGGAAAATCAATTCCTGATGGTGGCATGTCCGTGATTCTCCCTTCTTGACTTTTTGCTGTCTTCTGTTCCCGCAGCGGACTTTGGGGGATTACAGGATGATAGGTTGCGTGTGTGTAATAGTGAGTGACCCCATTTCTGGAAAGCATGACTGAAACGCGGGGGTGGAATGGGGCAGGCTCTGATGAGTGGTGTACTTGGCGGCAGCCGCTGCCCTGCCGGCCTCCGCAGTGTGAGAGGTGGATAGGGTTACTGGTTACGTCAGTAAGACCGAGGCTCAGTTTGATCTGAGATGCGGGACACTTGCATTCCCGGGTATAATGGAGGGGGAGGGGGATCAGTTCAAATAGCTTTTCAGTTTTTTTCCTAGTCACCTCTACTGCTGTATAAAAATGTTTACTTGCTCTCCTTAACGTGAGCAGAGTTGTAATAGTGCTTACGGCTGGTACTTAGTATTTTGTGACTTGGATCATATTTTAAAAATCTAAACTAAACGGTACTGTATAATAGAAAAGATATTGATAGATTTTTTTTTCTAAATATTTTAAAAAGGAAATCACGGTTTTAAGACTAGCAGAATTACGTTTAAAATTGTGTTAGCCTGTTTAATAGTATAGATGTTTTATAAGAAAATTGAATTTAGAATGTTTAATCATCCTTTGAATGGATAGTGTGAAAATTAGTTTGCACATGGGCTCTTTCATTCATCTTTTTCTTCAGATTTTATTTGCATTAAATAATATAGCTAAAAGGTTTATAAAATAGGTTTTCAAATTGCTGACCTTGTGAAAAGAAATTGAATTTGCTTTGAGCCTGATTGTTACATGCAAACGGTAACATTTGCTACTCATAATCAGTCCACATTTCTGCTTGGCACGTATCAGTGTGTTAAAAAATCATTTTAAATTCCACCTTATCCTTTTTCTACATAGCATACATTTGAATAGGGAAGGCACAAAACTGATATTTATTTAGCACTTACTATATGCCAGATACTGTGGTACATGCTATTTCATTTTATCCTTTCTATGACCCAACGGAGTAGGATTGTGATCCTCATTATTACAGATTAAGAAACTGAATCTCCGAAGTTAAGGGCACAAAGATTATAAATAGTAAATGGCAGAGGCACAATTCAAAGCCGGGTGGGTATAATTCATGTGCTTTGCTTTATATTAGGGTAGCTGCTTCAAATCCTTTGTGGAAAAATTCACAGTATAAATAAATAAGCCAGTAGTTAGAGGTCGTGTATTTTTCAGAAACAGTTACAGTATTATAAGCAGTCTCACTTGTTAAAGCCTAGTTATTTCAGTTACTGTCATGGTTTCCAGAACCTGGCAGATAGGATTCCACAACTTGCCATTTTCAAAGAATTTTCTTGATATTTTGGTATAAGATATGTCACACAGAGCTGGTGTTGCGTGGATTAATTTTAAAAAGATCTTTTTAAATTACTTTTGGATATTTTGTTGCCTTTGGTGGTTCATCTGTTTCAAGTAAATTACTTCTGATACAATTTTGGAATTGAAGCTAGTAAGGAAAAGGTTGAGAATTTTCATTCAGAAGTCTAATATTGGACTTAGTATTATGCCTGCTATTATGCCATCTCCTCTCCAGTAAGGCCTTATCAGAAAGTAATTATATTTTACCAGAGTAAAATCATTTTTTGAAGGACATTTCCTTGAGTAAATACATCAAAATTTTTTCTCCCCAGACTAAAAGGTTTCAGAATTGGTCTCGATAGGAATTTTCATTTGTGGTCTCGTTCCTAGTAGATTGTGAAATCTTGAAAGTAGAGTCCTTTTTTCTCTGTGTTCTCAGCGCTTAACACAGTGCCTGGCGCATATATATCTTGGACCCAGTAGATGTCCACTGAATGAATTATGGTCAGGAATAGGGTGATTATCAATGTTATTTCTGTTCTTATCATTTTAATCTTACACTGAAATACGAGCAGTCTTTAAAAGACCTGAGTACCTCCCTGAAAGTACAGGCAGTTTCTTCATTCCTTTACATAGCCTTTCTGCTTTAAGACCTCACATGGGTCTCATGGTGCTCAAAACAAAAAACCCTTGTGGTTAACTCAAACATGGATCAGAACATGATAGGCTAGAACTAGGCCAAATGTTTAAAGAAGCAAATTTAGGATAATAAAGGAAGTACTATGTAAGCAGTCAAGGTTAGTACAAGATTAAAAACAAAATAGCGTGCTAAATTGTCCAGGTGAATTCACAACTCTTTAAGGAGTTATTTAAAGATGCTAATATGTTTTTGAGTAACTGACTGTTTAGAAAACAGGTATCAAGGAATTGTGACTATTCTGTAAATTTCTCGCCACTGCATTTACTGGATCATAAGCCTGACCTAAAATGACACTTTTTCTCAGTTTTCAGTAAAGGATAAATGATGGTAAATGTAAATAAGAACAATATTAATTGATTTAACCTTAATAAAATCGAGGTTATTTTTTGCTTTATAGAAATGTGCTGTATAAAAATAGCTACCTTGAATTCTTTTAAATAGCAAGTACCCATAATATATTAAAATATTAACTATGTAAATTTTTTTATAAAAAATGAGACCCTTGTGTTGGAAACCATCTTTAGTGGATATGCATCCATTTTTATCTTCAAAGATTATATTGGATTCTGTACTGTTTCTACAATATTGATATGAGGTTTCTTATTTTTATCTGCAGGGAAAAACATTTTGTTAAAGTATGATCATTGATTTTGAAAAAATGTTTTATTAAGTTTCTTCCTTTTCCTGTTTCATTTCTGCCACCTTTCAGGTTTTTTTCTTTCCCCCAAGTGAAGATCTGAGGAGAGGACAGGTATTGTTACATGTCAACTGTCAATAGTAACTGTGACACATTACTGAACACTTCACTGTTAGTGATTATGATATAAGATGTCAGTTTTTGTTAAACTAAAATTTAGGGAAGTTTGCTTTATTTTGGCAGCTCTTCCTGTACGTACTGGATTGATCCAAAATGTGAAACTTCTTTGGTACATTTAAATTAAGATAAAGGGATAAACTTAAAGAAACGAGTATAGGCAGACTCTGCCTTTTCTTTAGTATGTTTCTGGAAATCACAATGAGTATATTCTACTTTTATTTAAGGAGAGTGGCATAACTGGGATGTGCACTCTCAACCAAGGATGCGATAATCAGTAATTATAGATCAAAAATATAGCAGATCATTTATCAGAAGTCTGAATTGCAGAACTGTAAAGATTTTTTTAAAAATGTATCACACATTGAAACATTCATACCATTGTGATCATTGACAAGATTTGCTCTAGAGTTCCATACTCAGGGACATGTGATATAACAGGCTGTGAATGTTGGATGATGTCAAGGGCACCAGTTTCCCAATGCAGACTGGATTCTTTAGACCCAGTGATTCAGATTACAGTGTACAACAGTGACATCTTGGTGGTCTCTTGGTAATGCATGAGTGTGATAGAGCTCAGTTGTTTATGTGTTTTGGTGGATAACAAGTTTTAAAGCATTGGAATGCAATTGTGCAAATCTATATATTATATATGCAGTTCCCCAATTCACATAATAGAAAATAAAAACAACCAACTGCATTTTTATACTTGGCATTAAATATCTCCCTCTACCCCACTTCAGATTTGATATAGTTTCCTATATCATTATCTGGAACAATTAGCAGATCTCATATATTCCAGTTTATCAATTTAATACCAAACAACATAAAACCAAAGTAAAACAGCTGTAAATGTTAGTTGTTGTAAAATGTGTAGAGTTAAAAACAACAACAACAACAAATATATGCATTTTCTGAAGCAGATTCAGGATGAAATGTATCCATATAAGACATAACTATTATTTTATACATTTGGCCTATTTTAAGCAAATACATTAGTTACTACCAATCAAATATTTCAGTTTTACTTATCTTCTTAAAATTTAGAAGGTACTTTTTTAGATAATTTTGATGTATGGGGAAGTGTTAAAGAATATAAGCTTTGGAGCCATAAAGACCTGTGTTTGAGTCCTGGCTCTGCCACTTAATAACTTAGTAATCTTATACAAGTTGTTTAATGTCTCTATGCTTCAACATTCTAATCTGTAAAATAGGAATGAAATAGTATCTACCTCATAGGGTTGTGGTGAGAATTAAGTGAAATGATAATATATGTAAAGTATGTGGTTTGCTGCATGGTTTCAGTGTCTAATAAATAATATAATGAATCATCTCTCTAATAGAATTGTCTGGGGGAAGCTCTGTGTTTTTCCTCTGGAGTAATTTTTTTCAGAATCAAGCAGAACAATTAAAAATTACTTGTTTGATCTGTTTAAACAGAGCCATTATTATATCTGAATATAATTGTAAGGGTAAGGTGAATGCAGATCTCTTGAATCTTGTCTCCCTTTTTGTATTGTTCCCCTCTTCAATATCATCTATAAAGGGGAAAACAGATAAAGAACATTTGAAGAATACGTGTGGAAGAAGGAAGAAAGGAAACATTGGTCAATTTGGGAGGCATCTCACAGTCCATAGCATGTGATTATTTAGCAGTGTTTTTTTTCCTCTTAGTGGTATATAAGATAGTATATTTCATACATGATAGCATCTTACGATTGATGAAACCTGATGTATCCTGGATGTCAACTTCTTGAAGGAAGTCTCCCCTTGAAGAAATGGATAAAATCAATATATAGTGTTAATAAGTAGAATTTTAATTTACTTTCTAAAACATACCAAAACAAAATGTGCACACCTTTTTATATTTTAGGATCAGTTCTATTAATTTCACTTTTAGAGACAGAAATTAGTATGGCACACCCTCCCCATTACTCTAAACACATTTGTTTTGCTTATTTGAATATGCCACGAGTAACTGGATTTTCCTGTCCAAAAATAGACTCCTTTGGATTTGATATTTTATGTGGTATTTGTACTTCAAGAATTTGAAATAGGATATACAGTATTTTTAACAGAGAAGTCTCTGGACATGTTAAAGGTGTATCTATCTATGCCCCAGGAACCATTTCTGCCATGCAAAAAAAAAAAAAAAAAAACAAAGGAGCATGACATAATCAAATAAATTTGGGAATTACAGAGTTAAACAGTATTTGACCAATGTCTTTACCTCATAACTTCTTAGCATTTTTAAGGCGATATTATACATGATGAATCTGCAAAAAGGATATAGCCCACAGCATTTGAGACTTGATGTCAGAACCCTTTTTTCGGGGCACCTGGGTGGCTCAGTGGGTTAAAGCCTCTGCCTTCGGCTCAGGTCATGATCCCAGGGTCCTGGGATCGAGCCCCACATCGGGCTCTCTGCTCCGCAGGGAACCTGCTCCCTCTCTCTCTCTCTGCCTGCCTCTCTGCCTACTTGTGATCTCTGTCTATCAAATAAATAAATAAAATCTTAGAAAAAAAAAAAGAATCCTTTTTTCATGAACCATCTATTGAAGTCTCAAAGGACACAAGTGTTTTGCAGAACAGTTTGAGCAGTCTGATAACTATAGTAACATGATCCAGTATTGCCTGCAATTGAGCTGTTACATTTAATTGACTGTATCAAAGCTTTTTTTTTTTTTTTTGACAGAGAGAGAGATCATAGGTAGGTAGAGAGAGGAGGAAGCAGGCTCCCCACTGAGCAGAGAGCCTGATATGGGGCTCAATCCTAGGACCCTGGGATCATGACCTGAGCCAAAGGCAGAGGCTTTAACCCACTGAGCCACCCAGGTGCCCCAAAGCTTTTTTCTTTATCAAGAGTTTTTGTTTCATTTTGAATTGAAATCTTTTAAAATGTATGATTTTCCATCTTATAATAGACTAAACCTTTAAATATAATTTAAATGAAAGTTTTAGATAACTTTTTATCCCATATTCTGAAAATTAATTGTTGTATTCTACCTTAATATCAAACTATTTGCCCCTATTAAGTGGCCCCTGCATTGACTTGCTCTGTAACTTACATTTCAAATTCATAATTATTACAAACTCTCTTATCATTTGGCGATTTGATGCTGCCATCAGTCTGTCTGTCTCTCTCCCACTCTCCTTTTTAAACTAATTGCTTCTAACTTGCAGTTACTAGAAAACAACTAGGGTGAGTGATATATTGATGCAGTCATTTTTAACTTGGGAACCTTGTTACTCCATCTTAAAAAACAGTTTCCATTTGCAGCCTACCAAATAATGCAAAATAGCATCCTCACCCTTTTTGTGATCTCTGCCCATCATATACACATACCTCTGGGGTCAGGGGTATTTGGACATATTACCTACTAATAAACAGTGTTTTATGCTTCAGCATAACATTGACCAAATCGCTCAGTCACTGGCATTACCTGCTGTGCATATTTACCTTCCTTTCTGGAAGGTGTCAACTAGAAAGGAATGTGAATAAGCTAAAGAACAGGGGGCTATAAGACAGAAAGCTAGCCTACTGTCCCACCTGGAGTCAGGTCTCCACATTGTCTTTTGGAGTTTTTTGGTGGGATTTTTTTTTCCCATGAGATAGGTCTAGTTTCCTGACTGTTAGCTACCCTATATTTATATGTAAATCCAAAAGCTCTTTCATACCTCCTGTCATTCTTTTCCTCTATTAGTATAAATAGAATTACAGCGGTAGCATAACTTAAATCAGATTTCCTGACCTTAGCTAATATACCCATGGTATCTTACATACCTAGTTATGTTTAATCCACCATGTAAATTGATTTTTATAATCTTCTGTATAAAATGATCTTGTCTTCAAACTTGACCTGGTCATCTAGGTTTCTGTGAGCTTGCCTCTAATCCTGTGGTCCACAAAGCTTGTTATAGGAAACTTGGTTCAGTTATTTGACATGTGTTAGAAGCAGATGTCAAATGATAGCCTGAAGCAAAAGATGATATTGATGTAATAGGTTGAAGTGCATCCCACATACAGTGTTTTGGGAGAAAACTTCTCTCCAGAAATCTTGTAGGACCTGTACTAAAAACCTCAGTTACTCAGAATGTTGTTTCAATTTTTACATTTAGGAGCCTGAAAACAATATAAAATAATAGGAAAGGTTGACTTTAAAATAAAAACCAAACACCATAACTTCTAAATCGGCATCATTCAGTAACCACTAGCTACATGTGGCTATGAAGCACTAGAAATGTGATTAGTTTGAATGAGGAACTGAATTTTAAATTTAATTTTAATTATTTTATATTTAAAAAGTCACCTGTGGCTATTGGCTACCACATTGAACAGCACAGTTCTAAAGGTTATAGGATTATTATAATTTGGACTTTTTCTATACCAGTGTTTTTCAGCTCTACCTTCTATTATTTGTATTTTTAAATCAATAGGCTAAAGCCTTTTCTAAATGAAAAAAATACTGTGTTTTTTCAAATTAAATGTAAATTAGCTTTGTCTTGTTCCTCACCTACCCTGAAGATTTTTTATAAGCCCTACTACATGGTATGTGCCCTTCAAATCACCATTCTGCACTTTCTATAGTTTTGCTAGTTTTATAGTAACATTCCTCATTCAAGTGATAACCCCAAGCACTGGGGAAATTTAGCTATCAAAAAATGTTGCATTTTGTTAATTATAATGCGCTAATTAATACTAGAAAAATGGATTGCTGCATCTTGTAGATAAACATTTACTGAATGCCCTCTCTGACTAGATACTGCTATAATCAACTTGAGTGAGGTAGACATAATTCTTCTCAACCTACAGATGAGGAAACTGAAGCCTAGAAAGGTTAAAGAAGCTGTTCATGGTTGTACCACTAGTTATTAGAGGATGTAGGATTCAAACCCAAGTCTCAGATTGCAAATTCCATTGACTTTCTGCTAGACTG